GTTGAGGGAGAAAATTGAGAATGTCACTTTTTAGTGGGCCCCGGACACCTGTCACAACCATACGCCAACAACAGCTGCTGTATCCCCGCAACGGGAATAAAACAACATGGCAGATTTTCCCGCAGGGAATACCCCCTTGACCTGCGAGGGCAATTTGGGTATGGCTCAAAACATGGTACCCAAAATTGCACCTTGGTACACGGGTGAAAGGCCAAGAGCCTGCGTAGCCCTAGTGGCTTAACGTTGAGTCCACCGGGATCTCAGGAGTCCGAGCTGTTCTTCGGTCTGGACCACTCCCCCATTTTTCTGGCGCTGCAGCACAAGCTGCTGAGCCTGCTCAAGGCCATCCTGTTGGAAGCCAAAGTGCTTGTGCCAAGCTTAGCGTCAGATGGTTCCCGCCAACCGATTAAGAGAAAAACGCTTGCTAGCCACTATAAGAAGGCTGTGCACCACGTTTTCCTTTTCGGGAGTAGTGGAAACCATTTTGAACGCATGTTCCAAGTTCTTTGGTAAATTCGTGTGTGTGTGTTCCCTTCTTTGTTTGGTGGCTTCCCCACCAATGTTTAACATGATTAGTAAAATTCTTACAGATTAAAGACATCCTTTTGTCCCAGCTGTAGTTTGCTCTTGACATGAACACCAGTGTTCAAACACTGGCGTGCGTGCTTCCATACTCGGAGCCAACGAATTGTCAAGAGGGAAACAACTAATAATTTGTTTTTGCAGTTTTCGGGCCACACCCACAGATACCACCCCGCCTGAGATCGGTCGAGGATTACAACCATGGGACATTAGGACCCCCCTGCAGAAAAGGTTCCAACAAACCTTTTAACAGCCCTTGTCGAGCCCTATGAAGTGTCTAAACACCTTTCGCAATGGGAGGCCTTTAGTTCCTCCTTCTTCGTGCTTCGTAGCGCCCTTCCGAGGTGCTTTCAGATAGCCCAGAGCAGTGCAGCAAGTGGGTCCTGACCCTCCTGTCCTTGCCCCTTGGCCCCAGTTTGCGTTTCTCACTTCTTGAGGCTGTCCAGCCAGCAGTTTGAGCTCTTTGTCTTTCTCACGAGCTCACCGATTTTTTGGGGGTATAAGCCAAGCCACCACCCGTGAAGGTCCTTTGGCTTGTGTTTGAGCTATGCTGTGGGTGGACGAAATCCATTTCGCACCACTTGAAACCATGGCTGAAGCCATTGTTGGTATTTACAGGGAACTCGAATCATGCCAGGGTTCTGAACGGTGGTGCGAAAAGAGTTTCGCAACCATCCACAGTAGTAGATGTCTTTGATGATTTGTCCGTTGGCCGCCTAAACATGAACAAGGAACTCTGTTGGCATCTATTGTTGATCTGACAGAGTCTCTGACCATCACGACGTGCTGATTGGGATAGGTTCCTGCGTTGTGGTTTATTGATCAGTCTAGAGACAGGGGTCACAGTAATTTGCTGGTGGTTTCCATTGAAGGTGCCACTGTTGGAGGTTCCAAAGGGGGAAATGGAGGAAACCCAGATTAGCAGCTTGGGTGTGTAGGTTAGCCATTGCTTTTCATCAGGAAACAAACACCCAAGGTTCCCCAACTTTGGTCTGGTACCCCTATTCAGCAAACCGAAGCGACTACATGAGGTCCTCATGGTGTGTCATGGGCACCCCAGTTTGGTTGGGTTTAAAGGGGACCAAGAGAAAACCCTTCATTTCGGGGAGTCCCCTAAAAGACAAACCAACCCCCTTACTACCACGGTTGTTCAGGGAGGTTCGGCTTTGAACATGGGTGCCTTTTTTGGAGTGTTACCCTTTTTGGTTAGTTTCAAAGGGCAACTGCGAGGCAACCCTTCCCCCTCTTGCCCGGGTACGATGACACTTAGTATGTATATCTTGCAACCTCCTTCTTTTAGGGTATGGTTCTTGTAGGGTTCGAGGTGGTTCAAGGCTGCAAAGCAAACTCTAAGTGTCCATTGCACCCCCCGGTCTGAAAGATTGACATGGATCAAAGGGATTCGATCGACCCAGAGACCCCCCCCCCCCCCCTAAAAATTACTTCGCTTCGAGCAATCCCCACCCTCCACACTCACGAACTTGCGACCGTTACAACAAATTCCTCCGCATCCTAGAGACTTCAACTCCAAACTCCCATCGGCCCCTTCCCTTCCCATCAGCCACTTCCACTTGTCTGCGAGCCGATCTGGAGAACTCAAACATCGGTTCCGCTAACAAAAGCTAAGCCCCTTCCAAAAAGAAACCCGACGGAGGATTAAACAAAGTTGCTTATTCACAGCCCCAGACGCAAGCTGCTCTGGTGGGATACTGGTGAGATCCACCGGCGAACGCTGGAGCCGCTCCGGCGATACAGGCCGGACACTAGGCAGGATCCACCGATAAGGGATACTCAGCGGGATTCACTGGTGAGCTACTCAGCGGGATACTCGGCAGAATCCCTCTGGTGGGATTCTCGGCGAAGATCCACTGGCTGGCGGGATGCTCGGCGGGATCCACTGGTGGGCTGCTCTGGTAGGATACTTGGCGGGATCCACTGGCGAGCCGCTCTGGCAAAATACTTGTCGGGATCCACTGGCGAGCCGCTCTGGCGGGATACTTGGCGGGATCCACTGGCGAGCAGCTCTGGCGGGATACTGGGCGAGATCCACTGGCCAGCTGCTCTGGCGGGATACTTGGCGGGATCCACTGGCGAGCCGCTCGCGGGATCCACTGCTCGGCGGGATCCACGGTGAGCCGCTCTGGCGGGATACTCGGCGGGATCCACTGCTCGGCGGGATCCACCGGCGAGCCGCTTTGGCGGGATACCGGGCAGGATCCACAGGCGAGCTGCTCTGGCGAGATACTGCCGGGATCCACCGGCGAGCTGCTCTGGCGGGATACTCGGCGGGATCCACTGGCGAGCTGCTCTGGCGGGATACTGGGTGGGGGCGTGGTGTAGAAGCATCGCAAACGCAGATTCCAACATAAAATCTAACAACCCCTTCCTGTCGGGTGGGGAAAAAGAGGAACATGCTTGGCATGGATCCGTCAAGGATTATCACAACCAGAGATCGACCCTGCGGGCTTGACTGCTGCTGGGTTGGATCTTCAGACCTTTAACGTTTTGAAATCAAGTTGGGTTTTCCACTACACCCCCAAACAGTTTTCAACTTTTTGCAGGGGGGTCGTTTCGGCCACCAGGCGAAAGGGGCCCGCTTTGCGTCAGAAGCATCGCGCCGAAGCCGCCCGAGGCTTCCGGCGGGGCTTTGGCTTGGCTTCAACTCCGACGGCTTCGGGCGGGAGCACTTCATGCCGCTCGAACGACTCGGTCGACTCGGTCGACGGCGGGAGTCGACTCGGGGCGGGAGTCGGCTCGGCTCGGGGTTGGGTTTTGTGATAAAAAAGAAAACGCGCTCCATGGGTCGTGCTGGTTGGGGTTTTGGACAGGGGGGCGACCAATTCGAACATGGTGTTGGTTGGGCTTCTGATAGGGGGAAGCCAATTCGAACACCAGCATTTGTGGGAGGTCCAACCGAAAAGCCACTCCCGCTAAGGTTCCGATCGCGTCCGAGGTCGCTTTTTGAGTTTGGGTCATTTTGAAAAACAACTCGGACTCTTTTGGCCAAGTCACCCAGAAAGTGAATTAAATGGGGGAACTCCCCCCCGAAGAAAAAAAACACGTTTTCCCTTTGTTTTCCTTAGCATGCCCAAAACAGGTACCCAGCCTCAAAAGAAGACAGACAGGGCGAAATTGACGTCAGACAAAAAAGGATGAATCTTGCGACATTTTGGACCTTTTGGATTCCCTGACGACGGGTTAAAGTCAAGGCTCCAAAACGGTAACCTGCTTTCCTGGGTAATTTGGGCCAATGGTGCAGAATCGCCTCAAAAGACCATTTGGGTTAAACGAATTGGCTTTTCCAGAAGCCGACACGTGATGGAACCGTTGCTCAGCGCCTTCAAAGCCCCGTTTTGTGTGTGGCTGTCCGACACCATCATCGCCAACCCTCAAAAACACATTCCCCATCTCTATTTCTGCCACAAAACACATGGATTCCTGCTGGATGTATGTCGATCTTCCCCGAAAAAACACAAGCCGGCTAAAGGACAACCCTGTTGTAAGCCACGAGATCAAAGGAGAAGAACCCCTCCAGAACTGCTTGGGATAGGATATCCATCCCTATCTCCTGGAATGGCTAGTTTGTTGTTTTGCCTTATCGGTGTTTCTTTCTGCTTCACGTACAACAAGGTTGCAGTCCACTTGTTTGGCCCTGCTCCGCGGATTTGATGTTGGGTTGAAGTTACAGCATCGGGAGGGTCCCCCCCAGTTCCTTTCGATCCCTTACATGCATAAAGCAATCACACAAAGCAACAAAACGAGTCCAACGCACCTTTATGGAACGGAGAAAGCCCAAGTCCGACAGACGCCGTCAGCGTGACTACACTGTCAAGGGGCCCCGTGCTTCCAATCGTGTCAAGCCCCGCTTCTAATGATGAATTCCTTTTTGCCCCTTGCGGTGGATTTCCCCGTGTGCGGTGACTTAAACCTCGTGTGTTGGATCATATTATCATATTGAATTAGGTGCTTGCGAGGACCATGGAAATACGGGGCAAACCCCAGTTGAGTCAGTGACTACGCTTATAACTTATAGCCACCTATTTTGTTCAACGTGGTTGAACAGATTGTCAGGTACTTTACTTTGGTGATTTGCATAGGCTTGGGGGTTTGAACTTGAACACCAATTCCTTTGAAGCCAAAGGGGGGAACAGTTTAAAGGCAGTTTTCTAAGGACCACAACACAAATCAGGGGTAGCGCTAGAGACATAGGGAACCCTACCCACAACCTCCAGACCTACTCCGGGGAAAGTGCGGTATATGCAAAACCAACCGCTGTGAAAATGGCGCGCGCTCTGATTTTGCCTGCTGCTTTGAGGGTGACCATCTCAGACTGGACCATAAAGGCTTTGGTGCATTTTGCCAAGGGATATTAGGACTGAATCACTTTTTTGCCAAATGAGTTTTCCGTATTGAACCACTAAAAGTTAGTCACTTTTAGAGAGCAGAGTTTGCAACCGAGTCGTCGAGACCCCATTTTCTGGATACGGAGCTCCCGTTTCGAGGTACCAGAAGCACGGCTTCCCCATCCAGTGCTTTGGGCCCCGATGCTGTGCCCCTCGAAAGTGTCTTCGGATCGCGGCCGAGAGAACGAGATCCGGATCTGTCTCGGGTGAAGCTACCCGTGAAACAGGGCATGCGGTCCAGTTTGGGGCACCCCAGGTGTCAGGGACATTTGAGGGTGCAGGTATCTTGCAATACCTCAAACGACGAACCGCGAAACCACTGCGGTTTTTTTCCCAGCGAAAGGTCGATGGATCACCTTTTTGTAGGCTCAGGGATGAACCGCCCGAGAGGGGTTGGCATGAACCAAAATGGTTGATACCAAAGGGAACCTGGCTCAAAGCCAGCAGCCAAATTGATCAGCGTGAAGCAACCCTTAGGTAAAAACGCTGAGCTTTGCCGCAAGAAGCCAAAAATCTGTAAATCCAAAAGGTCTCTATAAACAGGGTGGCCGCTGGGTTCGGACAACGATATCGCCATGACCAAAGAGGTGATGCTTTACCCCTCAAGTTGGGGATGTGGAGGTAAAAAATGGGAGGACACCCAAGAATTGCTGACGACCTCACACGACCTCACCCCAAATGGTGGTTTATGCGGGGAGTAGCCCTCCAACCACCTGATTTCAGGTTGGTGAAATATTATAATTCACCCAGAAGAATCGCTGGGTTTCCCTTTGGTTTCCCTTTGAACCCACCTAAGGTTCGCCGGCTCAGGGTCCAGCTACACATATACAGATTGCAGCCAACCCTTGAAGAACACAAACAGGGCATCCCATGGTGGCTGCTTTTTGCTTGGTTTTCAAGGGGAACCAGGAACACCTGCACATCTGCTTTGTTTGGGGGTGCCCTGAAACGGACAAGGACTTTAGCCACTTTGGGGTTTGGATCATGTCAGTGGAAGACAAAGCTTCAGACTTGTGTTGGCGAACCCACTCAGGAAATGAGGATTGAAACATCACCTTTTGGCCGCCATTTCAAAGGGCGGCCAACCTTTGGGTGGGGTGATGCATTCATTATTCCTTATAGGGAGCCAGGTGGCAAAGCTGATTTCGGATTGCTTTTTCAATTTGCATCAAACAAAACCGTCGCTTGTTTTGACACATCCGGAATCATATATATATATATATATGGGTCAGTGTCCAGGGTTCCCAGGGGAGGAGGGGGGAACCATAACCACAAGGGGGCGGGGGCACCACACCCACAGGGGGGGTGGGGGGTACCATGACCATTGGGTTGGGGGGGGGGGCACGAGCCCTGACCTTGTTTTTTTTGTTCATATATATATATGTGTGGATGTTTGGGCCGGTGCTTTGGATCATTTCAGCTTGGTGAAATGTCGTAATTTGTTGCCGTGAGTCATTGCCATGTCTACATCACACAACTGTAGGGCTCCTTCGCATATCACCGCGGTATGTGTGCAAGAGTTATGTTACACCTGGCAGCATTTCGTTGGTGCGAAGACGATGGTCAGGGTTTACCTCGCAAGCGTGCATGCGCATGCATGCATCTGCTGAGGTGTATCCCTATATGGGGCTTCATATGCTCGACAGCCTCCTCCAGATGCGTGGCTTCCTGATCGGCACCACCAATCGGATTTTCCTGGACCGGACAGTGCCAGACGTGGTCCTGGAGGCGCGCGCGGGGGGGGGGGGGATTTTATTATTTTTTTTTGGGGGGGGGTTAAGCTGGTCGGGGTTAAGCTGTGGGCGTTTTAAGCTGGTGGTCCTGGCGTTTTAAGCTGTCGGCGGTTTTTTCTAATCAAACACCCCCAAGTCCTTCGAGGGTGGGGAATTTTCCGGTCGGAATAATCATGTAAGCTGACAGGAGGGTTGTGGAAAACTTTCCTTTTTGGCCGCCACCGGTAAACTTTCATGATTGGAGAGATCGGAAGCTTTGCACTTTCCCTCTTCACGCGCTGTTCGAAGAAACCAATTGGCGGAAAGTCCTTCCAATGCGATCTCCTCGCGAACTATTTCTTCGTTTTGGGTAAAGCTACGTATGGAACAGAGAGCAACCTCCCCTTTCTGGGGCCATAGGATTCATTGCGAGGTTTCAGACCTTGGGGGCCAACCCCCATCCGGTCCTGCGGCGATTTTCACAGAACCTTGCAAACCTGGTGTGCGACTTCGGGTCCAGGTTGAGTCATTTTTCAACAGGTGATCACTTTTAGATTTTCCAGGCCCGTTTTGATGGCAACTTGGGCTTGGCCGTGTTCCGCCAGTTTGTCCTGTGTTTCCATATTGGCCTTGGCGGTTCCCAGTACCCTTTGCCATGTTTTGAGTTCAGAGGGATTTGTAGCATAATAGATAACTATATATATATATACATACATACTTCTTGCTAAAAGTTAGTTTTTAGCAAGATATCAACAAAAAAGTAATCGCTCCTTCCTTTCTGTTCCTGTGTATCTTTTGGGATGGGAAAGGCCCGCCCACAGCGGACGCACGTTTGACGGTTCTAGAAAATAGCGGTAAACTGGTCCTCACATCTGATAGAGTGGATTGGCACAAGGTAAAAGTAGATGTTTGTTTGTTTGCCACCTAAATGATCTTCTCACAAGTGGTCCCCGAAAATGCGCGGCGTGCGAGCTCTGTAACGAAAACGGGTTGCGAAACCGCCAGTTGCAACCAGTTGCCGCATGTCAGAAGAGGGAAGCGTCGGTTCAAGTTCCCCGCCGCGGCGTCCGGGTGAAGGAAGCGAGCCAGGTGCCAGGAACCGAGTCCAACAAGTTCTCCGTAGAGTTCCGGTGCAAGGAGCTGAAAGAGCTGACGAGGCCGGGCGAAAGAGAATATTTTTCGGGCTGGTTGAGTCTCTTGGGCGCACACTCTTTGGGCAAGAATGGGAAAGCCACTTTTGGAGGGTGCTGGATGTTTTGGAGGGTGCTGGTGGATGTTTTTGAAGTTGCGACGCAAGGATTGTTTGCAGCAAAGACTTGCCACCAAAACACAGCGTTGTGTGATCCAACGCCACTTTTTAATCTATTCCCCCTATTAATAAATACGGCCCCCCCCCTATTATAAATAAATCCCCCCAAATATATATATATATATATATATTTAATTGGGGTTTTTGGGGTTGGTTTTTTTTGCTTTTCCAACAATGTGAGGGTTCACCCACCTGTTGAAAAGTGAGGCTGGAAGCTTGCCAAAAGTGCCCCCTAATAAGGATTCCAAGACGTTAGTATTGGTTTAGTATTGGCGCAATGGAAAATCAATTGTGTGGAGTGGAAATCTGGTCCCGGGCCCCGGATTTGCATTTATTATTAATTGGGGTCATTCATTAATTGGGGGAGCGGATTACAGCGCCATGGATTGCGCAGTTTGTTGTCAAAGGAACCCTTCTCTACAACTTGTCTTCCCAAAGTTCTAGGGTTCCCCATTCTTTTCAGCCATCGTTCTTTTCAAAATCCGATCTCCATTTCCCCAGGGGTGGTTTTCTTGAAAGATTCGGATCCCTGGAAAGAAAGGGAAGTTACCCCTAGAAGTACCCAAACAATCCTAGAGAGTGTTACTTCTTTTGGAAGTTACCCCTAGAATGGATAAGTTACCTGGCACTTGGGGTAACAATCCTAGGAGAAGATTGAACCAAAAGGATTGTGAGCCACTTCCAAAAAGGAGGCCGAGGCCGAGGCCGCGCCGCAGTCCTACAGGTTGCCTCGCCAAACAACCCACCTGAGAAGGCCCTTGAAAGCTGAGCGGGTGACTCCCCCTGAAAACGAACGAAGCTCTTTGGCTTTCCCTTCAAACTCCCCCCCCCCGGAGAAACAAAGGAAAGCAAAGGTCTGCTCAGCTTTCCTTAGCCACTCCACCCCAAAGAGGAGAACACCCCTGAGATGAGGACCACTCCATTTCCCGAGAAAAGCCCACAGAGGTGCTGCGTCGCAAGCCTCGTTAGGTGCACCAGCTGCGAGCGCAGCTGGCTGCAGGACGCCTGCGCGCGCCTCGGCGCCGCCATGCCGGAGCCGGAGGCGCCGCCATGGCGCCGGGGCCGGGAAAAGCGGAGGCAAGCTACTCTTGGTGGCTGCCAGCCATCCGGTTCCTCAGCTTTTTAGAGCCTTGTATTGTTTCGCGGTAGTTTCCATTTAGCCCACCAAAAGTCATTCACTTTTAGCGGGGGATCTGAAAACGGGCAGCCCAGTTTACATTCAAGTTCCCAAATCTGGGGGCCCTTTCCCCGAATGGCCCCTTGCTCGGGCAGGCTTCAGCCAACCACTAAGCGGGAAGGGACGTGGGGTTATACAGAACTTGTGGTCCCTTCCCCCAAAAGCTCACTTCCTGAGTTCATGCACTTCAACCCTGTTTTTTGGGGAAGACCAATTTAGTGGACAGTCAAAAGTTTGGTTTTTTTCTTCGCCCATCACCTCAGGAAGTGAGAAAGTGATGCACAAGGCCACATCCCTTCGACAGGATGTGGACGAACCGCCGGTTGTCCCGGTGGTGCCTGTGATGCCTGACCCGGCGGAGGAGCGACACCCCCAAGCAGGGACGTCCTCGTCGTTTCGGGTTCTTTAATGCATGCCAATTTGTTGGGGAGTATCCAGAAAAGTGAGCCATTGTTTAAACTTGCGATGCCCTCATGATATTTTGGGTAGGGGGTGTGTCCTCTTCAAAAGGGATCCGTATCACCTTTCAGGGAACAACCCTTGTTCCGCCAGCATGGGGAGCACAATGTTTCTCAGCTTCCTCCAAGCGTAATGTGACAGCCATGAGTTGTTGAACCTTTCGTCGAAACTGTCAGAACTTGTTTGCGAACCGAAAATCGAGAAGAACGCTTGAAAAAGGGGGGGGCGAACAGTTTGACGTTAGGTGGGCGTTGGCGGGGAATTTTGAGCCCCAAGAGGCTAGCCTGATACTTGGTCCCGTGGACAAGTGAGTTGGATACGAAAATGGTTTTGGTCCAATAGAAATGCTTCAAGGTGTATTGCCAAGCTTGATTTGCGTTGTGAGCCAGAAGATGAGTAACCTTGCTGGTCAGGCAGCTAAGCTAGTCGCCACAAACGCTGGCAAGTTGAACACGTGTGGCTTTCTTGAGCGGACTGAGCACGTGGGCTAGAGAGGTTGCAGGAGGTCTTGAACTTCTTTGTTCTTGGTATGTCAGTCTTAGCTGTATTCTATTTTCCCGGGGAATGGTTTGTTTGTTCTTGGGTTGTTTGGTTCTGTTGGAATGGTTTGTGTTTTCCTGAGTGTTTGGCTTATATGTGTTTTGGGTTACCCACTGACATGTTGGTCAGGAGGATGAAGATGAGCTGATCGCCGCCTTGCCTGAAATCGATGCCCTGCCCTGAGCAACCGGCATCGATGCCGGATCCTGAACGCTGGGATGCTGGGATGCTGGAAGGCCATGAATATTGAATTCAATGCAGTGTTTTCAAAGTCATTCCTGAATCGTTGTGACGGGCGGTAGTGATTTCCCTTGGTGTCCCAGTGCGGGTTACGGATTTCGGATCCGCCCGTTTTGAACAAGGCAAGCGCTAGACTAAGTTCTCTGGCTTGAGGGGGAGTTTCATGGCCTTTTGACGGCAATGGCAGCCACTTTGCATCCGCAGCATGCCTGAAAGCCTGCATGATACTTGGAACCATGCCTCGGCGGCTATGAGTGTGGTGTCGAGGTTTTCTCGGCGAGTGACAACACACTTTGTGCACAAAGCCAACATGAGACCCCAAGGCCTAGCGATTAAACTACAAGATGCCCCCGATGTTTCACAGAACGGAGGTTCGAGCCGCACATAAACCACTCTAGCTGTACATTGTCTCCAGGGATCCTTCTGGGAAACAAGAGCAACACCAAGTCAACCGGAAAGTGTTGAAACAAACCATCAGTGAGAATATTGGGACTTGGCTTTCAAACCATTCTTCAACAACATGGCTGTTTTTTGTTGCCTTTGTTTGCTTTTTCTGAGGTTCCCTTTATTTTCCACCAAAACATATTGTTTTTTTTGCTGGAAATGATGGTTGTTTTCTTGCCAAACAAGTGTGAGATCAGATTCACGAGCTGGACGGCCTTTTTGTGGCTTTTGTTGGTCGCCCTCTTCTAGCCAGGCAGCTGTGGTCCGAATCAGCTCAGAGGAGCGGGTCTCGGCTTCAAATGGCACCTGGATCATGAGACTCGAACAACCAGTTTCAGAAACATGTCCACAATGGGAACCCCGAATTTAAACAAAAAAGGAAAATAAAGCAAACATCCCACGAATTGGAACAAGGGAAGAAAACACTCATCCCACTAATTGGGGCGGTGTCAACCACAAGAGTGACACCCCCCCGATGTTAAGCATGAAGTGGACAGTAAGACGGTGTCATGCTTGGAGCACGGCATTCGTTAGGCTGAAGTATGTTCATGGAAAGATGGGTGAATTGACAAAACGCCTAAAAGGTGTGCATCGAACGGGGCTTGGGTCCACAAAAACCAGCAGCGCAGGACAATTATACAATCAGTTCCCCCAGATTCCGATCAAAGGATATGGCTTTCTATGGCTTTCTCCTTTTAGGGGACCCGCAAAAATGGCGGCATTCCTTTTGGTGTGCCTTTTAAACTCAACCAAAAGGGGGTTCCCCCCAAAAACACGCACCAGTACTAGTTGGGTTTCCTTAGGGTTTGGGGATCAATGGCAGCGTCGGCAAAAGTTGCTGTGACATTTTTCCGGAGCGGAGATCTGCAGGAGCTGGTTCGAGACGTGCAGACCGCGGAGGCGTTTGGGAATGATGATTATCCTGCAAATACCACCAAATTATGGTTTCCCGTGGTTTCAAAGTGGTGCAGGATTTTGTCCATCCACAGTATTAAACGTCATCAAACTTGTCGCCACAAACAAAAACAGTAGGGCACCAGTTGAGGCCACCAAGGTGTGTTTTTAGGCCTCCCCATGCATCCAAAAAGCATCTGATTCCATCATTAGAATCAGGCCCAGCTATAGAATATAATTTCTATTCTATTCTGAAATGGGCACCCCAAGTCGGCAGATTCCACTTCAACAATCACCTGAGCAGCTCTAAAAACCCCCCGTTACATCCCAAGCAAGAGTTGTGTCATAACAGGGCCCCGCGTAAGCAAAACCCTGCACGGCGTAAGCCGGCGTAAGCGCTTTTTGGGGAAACATGCTGCGTAAGCACCTGCGTAAGCTCTCCTTTGTGATTGCTTGGTAGGCTTTATAAGCATGCTCGGAAGAGTTGTTTCGCCCATGTGTTTATTCGTGGCTTGTGCTGTTGGAGCTTGGCAACTTGCTCGGAGACTTTGGCTGCAGGAAGACGTCTAAGACCGCATGCGCGCGCCGCTAGAAAGCAACAGCAGAGCTTTGGTTGAGAGCTCTTGGGGCTCATGCTGGGTGCTGTTGCAACCCTTTACTGGAACAAACAGGCTTCTGTAACCACTGATTTAGGGAAACTAAAGGGGCTTGGGCGCGTAAGCTCGCGTAAGCAGGCGCGTAAGGTTTGCGTAAGCTCGCCTAGCTCGGCTGCCCGCTAGCCCTCGCGACGGATGCCGCTACCGCATAATATGTTTCTTGACCTAAGAACAACAACGCCAAGCCGCTGAAACTCGGAAGGGTAGCTCTTCGTCATCTTCTTCCTCAGAGTCGTCCACGTCATCTTGAACATTTCTGGCAGCTGCATGAGACAAGGAGCCCGCGTAAGCAATTCTTGAGGGAAAACGCTTAAAACGCCGACTCGTAAGCGATGCATAAGCTTAACATGCTCACTGACTGCCGCGTAAGCTAAAACATGGATCGCGTCAGGAAAGCGCAAGCTCGCGCGTAAGCAACTTGATACGACATAGGCATTCATGGGAGGTTTATAGAGTCGTTCACTTGTTTTTGACTGTGAAATTGGCTACGTTTGGGGCTCCGTCTTTCGCCACTATGACCCAGGGCTTCTTAGGTGGTGCAGGATTTTGTGCATCCACAGTAGTGTGGTTCACGCATCTTCACGCTGACCATTTCGGACCAAGGGCCATCACTTTCCCCATGGCCCTGAATCAACGTTGGATAAAGCCCAGTTGCTTAGTGGCACCCTTTTGGGCTTTTTGGTTGGTGGGCCCCCCAAGCAATTGCCCAACCTCAAAGGGTCCCTTCATTGTTCTTCGCAAGCTGTTTGTCTCTTTGTCCTTTGGTTCTCTTCATTTTTAGTAGGGGCTTCAAGAAATAAGGTTTTTTGCACCAGTTTTCTCCTTGTTTAGTAGGGCTTCTCCATACCAAGGGCTGCGAAGGTTCTCTTTTGCCACCAGTTCAGCCCGCAAAAGCGGGCCCAAAAGCGGCAGGCGAAGAGGGCTGCATGGAAGCAGGCAGCTCGGACTCGACGGAACCGAGGTTTCAGAGTGCTTGAGGTTGCTTTACTCACGAGGGACATAACCATGGGCTAACTCTAGTTGGCCCAGTTGTGGAGTAGGGTAGCTTGTAACAGGGACTGTGCAAGCTACTAGGCTGAACATCCATTTCCACTTGGTTAAGCTTTGTTTTCTTCCCCTGTTGGTTTGAAAGGGAATCTATCACTACTGGACATATTTTATATTTTTCCAGGGCACTTAAAGCAAATGGAGGGATAGGTTCTGTAAATGTCGCAATTCGATTGGCAGCAGAATATGGCAACATGTTTATGTTTCTTTGTTCCCTACTTGCGTTGGATGGGACATCATTTGCATTGTTGACCAGATCCCCGGAAAAATGACATGTACCTTCAGACATTCGGCTTTGCTTGCTGGTTCTCAGCAGGGAATGAGGGAATGACCCCTTAAACCATTCAAATTATCCATGGCTTCCTTGAAGAGCATCCTCTTTTAGTTCGCGCCGGGAACATACCCACCCGCGCGTTTTTTGGCGTGTCTTCGGTTGTTGTGCTTGAATTCTCAGGCAGTTTGACAAACGTGCATCTTTGGGTCTTTGAACATCCCGGTAACTAACTCATTTCAGAGTAAAGCCGCGAATTTTTTGTTCTAGACAGGACACATGGAGGGAGACGTGGGGGCGCCGGCTGGAGACATGTCCTACCCCAGTGGAACTTGAAATCCGCCGCCTTCGTGGACTGGGTTGTTTGTTGTTTCGCTTGAGCGAGTGCACTTGAGCGGGTGATCTTACCATTTGGTGCACTTCAGCGGGTGTTCTTACTGTTTGGCATGCGTGTGTGCAGTGCTGAGCGGATGCACCTCAGCGGGTGTTCTTACCATTTGGCATGCGTGTGTGTGTGTGGCGCAAAGCGAGTGCACTTCAGCGGGTGTTCTTACCATTTGGCAGCGCAAAGCGGGTGCACTTCTGCGTGTGTGCAGTGCTGAGCGGATGCACCTCATTGTTCTTACCATTTGGCATGCGTGTGTGCAGTGCTGAGCGGATGCACCTCAGCGGGTGTTCTTACCATTTGGCATGCGAGTGTGCAGCGCAAAGCGGGTGCGCTTCAGCGGGTGTTCTTACCATTTGGCACGCGTGTGTGTGCAGTGCTGAGCGGATGCAATTCCGGGGGTGTTCTTACCATTTGGCATGCGTGTGTGTGGCGCAAAGCGAGTGCACTTCAGCGGGTGTTCTTACCATTTGGCAGCGCAAAGCGGGTGCACTTCTGCGTGTGTGCAGTGCTGAGCGGATGCACCTCATTGTTCTTACCATTTGGCATGCGTGTGTGCAGTGCTGAGCGGATGCACCTCAGCGGGTGTTCTTACCATTTGGCATGCGAGTGTGCAGCGCAAAGCGGGTGCGCTTCAGCGGGTGTTCTTACCATTTGGCACGCGTGTGTGTGCAGTGCTGAGCGGATGCAATGCCGGGGGTGTTCTTACCATTTGGCATGCGTGTGTGCAGCGCAAAGCGGGTGCACTTCAGCGGGTATTCTTGCCATTTGGCATGCGTGTGTGCAGTGCTCAGCGGAGACACCTCAGCGGGTGTTCTTATACCATTTGGCATGCGTGTGCAGTGCTGAGCGGATGCACCTCAGCGGGTGTTCTTGCCATTTGGCCTGCGTGTGTGCAGCGCAAAGCGGGTGCATTTCAGCGGGTGTTCTTACTATTCGGCATGCCTGCGTGCAGCGCTGAGCGGGTGCACTTCAGCGGGTGTTCTTACCATTTGGCATGCATGTGTGCAGCGCAAAGCGGGTGCCCTTCAGCGGGTGTTCTTACTATTCGGCATGCCTGCGTGCATCGCTGAGCGGGTGCACTTCAGCGGGTGTTCTTACCATATGGCATGCGTGTGTGCAGCGCAAAGCGGGTGCCCTTCAGCGGGTGTTCTTACCATTTGGCATGTGTGTACCAGCGGGTGCACTTCAGCGGGTGCAGCGCTGAGCGGGTGCTCTTGAGAGGGGGTTCTTACCATGTTAATGGCGGGGGTAATAGCCACTTCGACTTGCGGGTGGGTAAATATCCGGTACCTTTTAGTTGATGTCCAAAACTCGGCAGCTGATCCCTAGAAACCATTCCCTATGCCTTCCTTTAAGGGAATCGGGGATCCCCTTCCAGTTCATTCCCAAACCCGGGCTCGGTCATTCCCTACCAATCGCACCAACAAGTTGGCTGTCTGTCCCAGAAGCGCTGCGAGAGCAGCTTAGCTGTGGCTCGGTCCATGAGGACCAACGGAGCTCTGCAGAATCTTCCGCGCGTGCCGCTGGAAGACCGTCCCTTCGGCTTTTGGCGTCTCCTCTGCGGCCTTCAAAAAGCCCGTGTAAACGCATTTCCTTCCAAAGGCTTATGTCACCAGGCTTTCGGAATTTTCTCAAAGAAAGTGTGGCTTCAAAAGGCTAGCCCCCCGAAATGACGGTTTTCCCTTGTGGTTTCCCTGCAAACCAACTCAAACACCGAAGGAGGAAAAAAGAGAGGAGAAAACAGAAAAAAAACAAGACGACCCAACTCCCTCGCGAATCCGCCGGAAGCTTCGGCAGGCCAGCTCTAGGGAACATTTGCGTCAAGAGGCTGCCTGGGCCTGGCGCTCAGGCGGCAGGTCAGGGCAAGGGCTGCCAGGGGGGAACGCCTGCACTCATTTGGGTCCCCCAGCTCGGTGCCCTTTGGCCATTGCTTTGGGGGAGGGTTCCCTACTAAAATAGACCACAGGAAAAAGTTGGTGCCCTCATTCTAACCTCTCTACTGGAGGACCTAGTTCGTTGTTACAACACATGTGCAAGGCGCTCAGCCACTGAGCGAGCGAGCGATCGGAGTGACTGAGTGAGTGAGTGACCGCGTGCTTCCGCGCGTGCGTGAGTAGCGTCATGCACCAAAGTATGCTCCATGCTCACAGGTCCCAGGTGAGGCGCCATGCATTGAGCTGTTGCGAGAGCGCCCCTTACAGCGTGTGTTGGTCTTATGTTTCTGGGCTAAGGCGCATGTCAATTCCTGCAGCTGTGGGGAATCAAACCGCGTTCATATCGAATAGAGGGCAAAAGGGACATTTTCCTGAACCACCAAAATTGTGGGGGCTGAGGTAAGTGCTGGCCAGGAGCACTGGGATATATTTGGCACTTGCTGCGCACGAGGCCGCCGTTGTCGATGCAGACCGCACGGCCTTCATCGCCTACTGGCGGCGTTTGGTTGCGGCTGGGGCCCTGGCCCCAAACCCAAGAAGATCCTCTGGCAGGGTCCCTGAATGTCCACCTGGGATGAATAAAGGTGGGTCCCCCCCGCAAATTTGGTTGCTTCCCCCAGAGTGAAAATCTAAGACCCCTGTTCCATACCATCTCATTGCTAGAATAAATCAGTGGGTCCAGTTCAAGTGTTTAGCCTTGCTGGAGCGTCCTTACTTATACCAGGTGGACATGACAGGATACATTTGGTCTCAAAACGGCGAACCCCAAAGCGACTGGTTTCCTCTTACCTTCCCGGAAAAAAAAAAACAGAGAACAACCCCAAAAGGGAATCCTCCCAAAACTTTTCCAGTTGATAGGATTCCCTTTGCACAGCACTTACTTTTTGGATGTATTCTGTAAGGAATCCTGTTCACATATGTGTGGGCATGTGTTTGTGGAGGCTACCCTTTCCAGCTCGGCTTGACAGGGACACCAACATCACACTGCCATTTTTGGTGCCCCCTGATCTTCGCAGTTTGTCGCGGGTGTGTCCGGTGCTCAGCCAAAGAATCAGCATCAGCTTTTCCCAATTGGAGGTTTGGAGGTGTGGGGCTGGTTCCCATTCACCCTCTACAAGAAGCAGGGCTTCAAATTCCCAAACCAACAACCCAAACCACAAATTTGGGGTTACCCTCAGTTGTTCAGTGGCACCCTTTTTCCCCTTTTTTTTGGTGGCTGCCCCACTAAAAGTGGTCTTCCCCAAAAAGGTTCCCTTTTTTTCCCAGGGTCACTGAACAACTGAGTACCTGAAAGAATTGGAACCGTGCCTCTGTCGCTCTTCGGTTTGGACCGAGGTTTTAGTTACTGGACTTTAGTCAGATTGGGCCTGGACCATTTGCTCGTTAAGTGAGATGGGAGAGGAGAGGCTTGGTCAATCAATCCTTGGTTGAGCAATGGGCTGTCCCCAGTGTAGAATCCTGCACTTGGCAAGCACCCTGCAAACCTGACAGTTTCATCCGGTGTCAGCGCTAAACCGAGGACATGTGCTTGTGGTTTCCTGCTGCAAGTAGCACTCAGGGACGGAGCAACATGGGCGCCATGCTCAAGTAGGTGCCCACGCTTTTCCTTAAACACCGTTATATTGGGGTTGAATAGAAAGTGATGCTGGCCAAGCCTTTATTCCTCGTATTGAATGGACTGACAGATGGTGAAAACTTGGGCAAACTGGATGTGGGGTTGCCCGAATCAGATTGGTGGAAACAGACAGGGCAACTTGCTTCAGCGGCCTTGACAAGGGGAATTCAAGGATTGAATGTGCATCTTGTTAACGAAACCACATCCAAGCTCGCGAGCATAATGTTCGCGCGAACTCGATGCTGCCGAGGCACGAGAGGTAGAACATTGGGATGGTCATCGGGCAAAAACACTGGGAACACATTTTATCCACTAGAAACTTGTTATTCAGAGGTTTGAAAACGTCACAAAACACTGCCGGGGCTGATTTGAAATGGACGGGGCTCGCGAAACACCGCAAACAACAGTGAATATGCAAGTCGTTTGCAAGCTGGCAACGCGAGAGTCGTTTATTTTGTTGCATGCTTCATGAAGACCATCACCGACAAAGCAGGCAGCCACAACAACAACGCAGGCAGCGAAAGCAGCCGCGCGAGGACAGCAAGACCTGCCCAGAGCAATGAACCGCAATCGGAAGTGATGCCAGGGAAGGGAAAGGCAGGGGCCAAGGCCTGCGAAGTCAAAAGGAAACCACCCCGGAATCATGACAGTGGACACGCACGAAACCAGGATGGGTCGTGTGACTGCGTCACCAAACCAAATAGGGAGTCCAAGAGCAAGCACCGGATGATGAGCCGCGAACAAAGACAACACGCCTGCCAAGCAAGAGAGCACAAGACCTAAGGCAAAACGGGCATCATTTGGCATGAGCATGTGAAGTAATGCTGCGGGTCCAAGACGCAGTGCCATGTTCTGCGATCATCCCCTCCCCAAGCCATGATATGATCAATCATGATGTCATCTTGTCGGGGAACTTAAGCATGATGTCATCTTGTCGGGGAACCCCCGTCTGGAGGAACTGATGATCCAGGTCATTTAGCTGGTGCCGGTCAAACCTGATGACCCATGAAAAGAGAGAGAGGGAGAGAGAGAGAGAGAGATCCATGTCACGCCTGACCTCCATTCAACAAAACAACAACAATTCACGCCTAACCTCCATTATTAAAAAGACCAACAAAACAGACACATCTCACGCCTGCCTCTTGAAACAAAAACAAAAGCAGCTGGTCATTTGAACGCGTGGCCGAAAAATGCCGCGCCTTTCGGCGCCCAAAAACCACCGGCTGCGGCCGCTGCGCCCGCGCGGCACGGGACCCGCGCCATGTCCGCGTCCCAGGCCGCGGCAAAGATCGCGGGGCTGCAGCGGGATTTGGCCCAGGGCCTCGAGGCGCCGGTGATTTGACGAAGGAAGCAACGGATGGGATTGGTCTCAGTCTGGGGGAAGCGACATGTGGGATTTTCTGAACCAGAATCTGAAGACTTTTCTTTTTTTTGGTGAGGTTATCTTTTTGGAAGTGTGTTCTTTTTTTTTTTTTCAGGTGTGTGTGTGTGTGTGTTTTTCTTGCCGCGTGTTGCGTGCCATGTCCGTTTAAAGGGAAGGGGCGATTGTTTCAATGGAAACCACCAGTAAATGCTCAACGTTCCCTTCCCGAGTTTCTGGACTTTTGTCACTTTTGGGGGTTGGACTGGTTTGGGGGTACACAACAAGTTCAAGCTTTGTTTTACCCATCTACTCAGGAAGTGAGATTGCCAGAACAGGTTTGATCCCCTTACATGTCCGAAGAGAGGAATCAACCCATCCTTATGCCATGTCGGTGGACGAGAATGGTTTCTGGGTATCCTATGGGTTACGGATCCGGATTTGGAAGGCCCCTCAAGTAAATCGAGCAGATCTGACAACTGTCCTTTTCCCATGTTGGAACCTATTCTTTGGTCAGGGTTGCCAAAGGAAATCACCTGGTTATTTCCAGGTCCTTGAGGCAACTGAGTTTGAGGCGAACATGGTCTGCCACGACCATCCAGTCAGCTACCACCTTCTTGGTCAGGTTTAAGCTTTGCGCTACATTGCAGCCGCAATGGAGATGCTCCTAGGGAAGCCAACAGAGGATGGAGCAACTGGCTCTTGACTGGCAAGACAGCAGGGGATGGAATGTTTGGAACCTTGGTGTTAGGACCAATATCTCGTACCGACGGGACCTGACTCTCAGGTCGAAGTGATAGAGCAGTCATGGATGGACGGCCACTTCGATACTTCTCAGAGAAAGGGGGATGTTCGACCATGAGGCAAAAAGTTCAACGGAACATCTCGTAAGCAAAGATTATTCCTTGTTTGAGGTTGCCTAGGGACTTGCAGGGAAGCAGGGGCACACAACCACAAACACAGAAACACAGAAACACACAAACAAGCACAAGCAAACACACACACACAAACGCAACAAACACACAAACAAACAACAGTAGACACACAAACGCAAACACCTGGCAACGAGAAGCTTGAAGTTTGTCAACCAGTTGAAGAGCCAATTGCAACCACCCAGCCGAAGAGCATCGTCCGGCTCCGCTTTCAATTTTCAATCGAGCAACGAACAAGGGCTGCAAGTCAAGCTTTCAAGCTGTTCCTTGTGAGCAAAGAGCAAGTTATGTACTTAGGCCCCTGTCTTTGTACAAGTGTGTAGCCGGGAGAGCACTGATAAAGCAGCAAGTGGGGCACAGCAGTCTAGTGCAGATTGTTATATACTTTCTTTTTCCATTCCTTTTCCCACGAACTTGGCGCCTGACAAAGGGTGCGGCTCAGGTGCCCTCCCACAGATGCCCCATGGGGCCAAGGGCAAAGATGAAACTTCCCATAGCCTGAGCCATATATGACATTATATGACATATGACATTGGCTTAAGGGTCCAAAAGGTGCCAGCCGGTGAGCTATACTTACCTCTTAAAAACACAACTTTTCAACTTTCTGGGTAACATGGGCTATATGTCTGTAAAAGATTAACTTCCCCAGGGCTTGGAGTTTTAAGGGGTAAGTATAGAATCTGCAAAGTTGACCCCCAAGTCTTCCCTTTCGATGGGGCAGAATGGAAGCAACCTGCCAGGCAGCTACTCGCCAAGAGAAGTCCGAGCTGGGCCGCTTTGGGCTTCCCTTTCTTCAGCGCTGGGTGAGGCGGATGTGGTGGGGAGGGGGTGGGGGGACGGGGCGGGAGGGGGGGGGAGGTAGAGCGTTTTGCAGGCAGCAAGTCCACAAGTGCAGCTTAGCAAGGGAGCGGCCGCCTTGATCCGACAGGGAGCCCAGCATGCTATCCACCCCCCCCCCCACCACCTGTCCGTCCATTTGCTGTCTCGTGGCATGTAAGCCTCCATACCTCCAGAACCCATACCAGAACTCATTGTTGAAATCGGATTGTCCCTCCTGCCTGGAAATGGGCGTTCATTTTGGGCGTGGGTTCATTTTGGCTTCTATTTCACATGCAAGCGTTAAAATTGAGCGGCGAGGTACACACACGGCGGCCGCACTTGGCTGCAGGCGGCCGGAAGCTGGGCTCGATCGGTATGTTTCTTCCCTTGCTTGTTTGAAGCATCATGGAACCTGCCAGCAGCCCCTTGAAGGAATCTCGTGCTCTAGAATGCTACCTCTCCAAATTATGAGTTCTCCAAGAGCTCTTGAAAGGATCAACCAAGCGCAAACCTGAGTTGAGGAAACAACAGTTTGAGTGATTTCCAAAAGTCGGGGAGACCTTCAAGTGCAGTTTGTTTCCCTGTCATTTGATTGCGTGCTTCCACACATGACACATTGGCTGACATGGGAGACTCCAAAACACCGGGTTTGCGGCTTGCCTTTTAAATATGTGGGGGCCGGGCCTGGGCTTCAGGGCTGGGAGGTAGTGTAAGACATCTGTTTAAATCTATTTAAAGTGGCTGGCCGGGCCACCCTCACGGGCCCTGGAGGCAGTATGAAATACCAATTAGGATATTAAATGGCAACACCGAGACAGACCCCCGTCGTTGCGCTAGCTCCTGCCAAGCCAGGTCAGATTGCACAGGTCCAGCCTAAGGCGCCATGTCGGTGCAGACCTATGCTTTCGTAACTCCATGCTACATAAATGCCTGGAATTGCGGAGCTAAGTGCGCTGAATTGAGCTGCCCAACCCCTGTCCACGTGGCTCGTGGAGAAAGAAAGCGAGAAGAACATGAATGCCCCTTGTCTCGGACGGGACTCCCAGATTTGTTTGAATTATTGAAACTCCTGGCGTCTTGGGATGGGAGCTGCTTTTAAACAAATCTCAGAATCAAAAGAATTGAAAACAGAAGAAAGAGAAGCAAGAGAGAGAGAGAGCGAGAGAGAATGCCTGGATCTGGCATTGGGCCCTCTGTCAGACCTGTTTCAGACGCCTGCAAAAGGACCATCTCATATTCGCACAACCCCTGCCAAGCCACACAGGTCCAACCTAAGGCGCCATGTCGGCGCAACACTGATGCCTCTAATTGCAGACCAACGTTGTCGTAATTCCATGTTACATAAACGCCTGAAATTGCGGAGCTAAGTGCGCTGAATTGAGCTGCCTAAGCCCTGTCTACGTGGCTCGTGGAGAAAGAAAGCAAGAAGGAGCTTATTTTTAAACCCACAGAATGAAAGGAATTGGAAGAGAAGAAAGAGACGCATGAGAGAGAGAGGGAGAGAGAGAGAGAGAGAGACAATGCATGTGGCATTGGGCCCTGTGTCAGCCCTTTTTCAGACCCCTGCAAAAGGACCATCTTAAATTCGCAAAACCCTGCCCCGAATCCGTAGCACACAGCCACACAGGTCCAACCTAAGGCGCCATGTCAGCGCAACACTAATGCTTCTAATTGCAGACCAACGTGTTTGCACTTCCATGCTACATAAATGCCTGGAATTGCGGAGCTAAGCTGAATTGAGCTGCCTAAGCCTTGTCTACGTGGCTCGTGGAGAAAGAAAGCGAGAAAGACATGAGTGCCCCTTGTCTCGGACGGGGCACACACATTGCCTTAAAATCGTGAATCTCCTGGTGTCTTGGGGCGGGGCCTGCTTTTCAACAAATCCCAGAACAACCGACTGGTTGCGGAAGATGCAATTGCCAACAAACAGCAAGCAAATTGACAAGGCGGGCCGGGCCAGAGGCAGGCTTTCAAGACGTACCGCAAAATACCTATCTAAATCGGGTATTTAAGTTGGTCGGCCGGGCTGGCGGTAACGCTGGCGGAGGTAGTGTAAAATCTTTGTTGACCTATTTAAGTGTCCGGGTGTTTAAGTGGCGACACCGTTCTTTCGTGTCAGATGCTATTATTGTATTGGTCCTGGACTTTAGACTTTTAAAGAATTGGACCAGTGGTAAACAGCAAGGGTTAACTTGTTTTGGCCAAGCCACTCAGGGAGTGAGCACTGTTTCTAGGTCCCCCAGTATACCCTTTTTTGGGGGAGGCTTCCCCTATTAAAATAGACTACAGAAAAAAGGGTACCCTTATTCTAGCCTCTCTACTGGAGGACCTAGGTTTAATTGCTTCTGCTTGTTAACGGCGATCACCGTGGCCCCAGTTCCCAGGTTGCAAATGTTCAGCCAACGAAACGGGGTTGCCCCCAAAACAGACACTACAGTCCAGCTGCGCTGTGTGTCTTCGAGCTCGAAGAGCGAGGGCAACCCTACCCGTAGGGTATACCGCTGACGTGTTTTGTTGCACCCCAAGCTCCTCCTCAGCATTGCCTGCATCACCTGCCACGCAGGCCGGCCCAAACACTTGGACCCCAAAACATCCCCAACCTCCCTGGCCTTGGGACGGGCCTCTGATGCCACGTTGCCTGACCTTCAAGAAACACTGTAAATACCGTGCAAATCCCCCCGGAAAGTCGCCAGCATCCCCGCCAACATCGTCTGCATCCTGCCAGCATCCCCGGCAACCCCTGCATCACCAGCATCTGGGCGTTCCAGCATCCCTTACATCCCCTGCATCCCCTGCATCGCTCAAACCCTTCAAAATTGGCCCCCTGAGAGTAGGTTTGGCGGTAGGCGGACATGGCGGACAAGTCTGCGATCGAGTGTACGGCTGTTCTTGCGCAAGTGCGGCCGCCGCCGCTGTGCGGAAAACATCGCGCAGACTATGTTTTTCTGCATTTTTCCACCGATTTCTGTGGGGCTGGGACAGGCTGCCGGGGATGCATTTTTTGGTCTGATTGGCTTTCGGTGTGAGACACGTGCGGCGCGCGCGCGCGTTTCGGACGCAAGCGCCGGACGCAAGCAGGCACACATGCGCTCAAGCTAGGGTGGGTGAGTGCGTGCTCAGTGTCAGGGGGGTTGGGCAAGCAACCTTGCAGCCTCTTGTGCATGTGGGTTTGCAGCGAGCGCGTGCTTGGGGTGGTCCGGAGGTCAGGCTCTGAAACAAGGTCCCGCCGATAGAGTTCTTCTTAGTCCTCCCCATCTCACCTGTCCGATCGGCCAGCGCAGCTGGTGATGGCGAAGCCCTACTTGGATCGGCTGTTGGCCTAGTAGAGGTTAACATGTGTTAACATGGTAAGGGAGACAGTTGTAAGCAGCTATAAGGAGTTGGCTAGCGCAGTAGTTAAATGGTTAGCTAGGGTTAGCTAATGCAATTTCGAAGAGAAAATCATCAAGCATATTGTTGGCGGCCTACTATGTTCTTCCTCACGCTCGAAGAAAAAAGTGCCCTCGGTTACATGTCAAGTCTCGTAGGCAGAACAAAAATGCACATTCTGGGCTATATGCTCTTGCCAGCTATTGTTTGGGGAATCAGTGCGCGGCATGAGCCCATGCAGGGGGGGCTGAATGCGTTGAAGCAAAACCATGGTGTTATTTCATAGCTAATGCAGAACATGTTTCTCCAAACTATGGCCCTAAGCCCGCCATTGCTTGGCTTGATGATAACATTGATGTGACAAGGCGCATTGTGTGAAATCAAACACATGTTTCGCACCATGAGCCCCAAGGGCTATGCACGCAAGTCTCAGCAGAGCATGCGCAAAAGCCTTTTTTTTCACCCTTGCCTGCAGAATCTATGTGGTCGAAATTGCCACGGGATCAGGACCTTGAAGCCTTGCTTGCTTCGGCAGTGGCACACAGGAGTCAACAAGACTGAAGTGGGCACAAGCTGCTTGCGCTCCAAACAATCGACTGCAGCTGAGCAAGTTTCTGTGTCATATTTCAATAATTTACATATCGCCACTATTGACAACTTGAAGATGGCAAACTACCTGGGCAACTTCCCAAAGCTCATTGGGTAAGTTGCTTTCCAGCAGCACAAAGTCTTTGGGCTTGCAAGACACACCAGACGCAAGCTTGGCTTCCTGACCCGTGAAAATGCTGCCTTGTGGCCAAGTCTGCCCCAAGCACGAGCAGAAGTAAGCATGCAGCTTTGCTCCTGCAGGCGAAGGCTTCACCAAATACACGCCTTGCTTAAAAAGGTCACTGTTCTGCAGCGCATACAAGTCATGAGAAAGGCATTCCTCAAGCACAGATCGCTCATATACCTTGAGGTTGGTGGTGGCGGTGGCAAACCTGCTCACCACTTTGTGCTTGCGCTCCATGGCCCAGCACGAGGGCAAGAAGTTCCACTGGCGAAGCTTTGGCGGGGCATGTAATAGCCAATGAAATTTTTTAATCATGTGACTTCTGTAGCCAGCGTCAACGCATGCCTGCAAAGCCGACTCCACAGCTTGGAGCAAAGCATCAGGCGAAACCATACCACTTGGAGTTGCCTGCAGCATCTCCAGGACGGCTGTCATTAGCAGAAAGGCGCGGGAATGCAAGTGGTATTCACCAATGCTGGCAAAGGCAGAGCTCACTAAATACGCTAGCAATGGGCACAGTGCTAAACTTTCTGAAGCACTGCACTTGAATTTTTTCTCTTGCTTGTACGACTTGATCTTTTTGGCGCTGAACAGCTGTTTCAGTTGACCTGCTTTCTGAGTGGCAGCAGGCAGTGACCAGAGGTCAAGGAAGCGAGGCATCATGTCCCAGCAGTCCAAGTGATAGAGTGTCAAGTAAAGAAGAACTTGCATGATGCCTTGTGAGCACATCATGTGCATCCAGTCATGGCAGTACTGAGAGGCTGGCTTGAGCAAGCCAATGCTGAGCAGCTTCTGGTTCAGCAATAAGGCGTGGTCATTGTGCGAAATGCCAACTGCTTGTTGCCATACAAAGTCTTCGCCCGTCAGTTCAAGTTTTTTCTGCTGACATCTTTGAAAGCTTTGTAGCAGTTCAGCAGTTCAGTGCACTCGAAGCTTCAAGTGCTGAGCAACTTCGCCGTCTCTAGCGTTTCTACATAACATACAATACTTGCTGCCTGAATCACCTTTGATGTTGAAGGTGAATTTCATGGCAGCACCATCTTGCAGCACCATGCCGAAGTCAAAATAAAGCCGGATGTTACGAGCAGCATCGCCTGAAGGATGTTTGAGAAGCAGCCCATTCATGGGATTGCCAAAGCTACTGCAGAACATCTCCTCCAGCACCAAGCTCACAACTTGTCCAATATTTGCTTGCAAGGCATTGACCG